CATTATGAAACGTATTGCAAACTTAACACTAACGTGTAGAACAACAAACAAATATAAAGATCAAAAGATTTATATATATTATAAAGTAACAAAACCAACAAGAGCACCAGAAGATGCAGCACATTCAGAATACGCACACAAGTTATACAGATAACTGGGGCTTAACCCTAGGTCAGTGTAATGAAGAAGTCCGATTGAAGCATATCAAAACATGACTCGGTGAAAGCCATAATTCCGGTAATCTTTTTATTCATGCAACTAATTACAGAAACAGTTAGGTGGCTGTACAAAAAAAGTATAAGGGAAACAAATATTACACCTTCACAAGCAGGTAGTTTTTCCCAGAGCTGGAACTTGCAATGACTCCCATGGATTTTCTATCTCGATCAAACTCGAGGGTGGCAATCCGCTGTTCAATTCTATTCCACGTGCTCGAGCACTCTTGAATGCATCCAAGTAAAACAAGTGCACATCAGCATATTAACTCTTATGATTTGTATGAAAAAATTCAATAAGGCACGGCAACTTACTTAATACACCATTATAACCTGAGGAGGCACTTGAAGGTAATCCACTTGGAAGGCCCATTTTCTCAACCAGAACCTGAACATTAAACAATCATTTCAAGAATTTATTTTAAAATTCAACTATTGGTTACTGACTCCTTGCAACAAAAGTAATGCAAGAAATGTTTATATAGACATCAAGCTTTCCCCCATCTGTGAGCCACCAATTATGTAAGAGGTACAGAAAAATAACGTGAAAGCAAAGGACACAACCTTGCAAAACAACTGAATACTGCCCAGAACCAGCAAAAAAACTAATCCTGTCATCCATAATCCTTAGGGCATGGTGTCCAATTTTATTCCAATTTGAGCAACCCATCATGATGCCTCATTACCATGTTAGTTTGCTCACGTGAACCGCGAACAAGAATGGAAATAGGCATAATGAAGTTTTACTTATAAAGTGTTCAGATTAAATTATATAGAGAGTACATAATAATCATAATTATACTCTGTACCTTTAATGCTGCCTCAGTGGACAGTGGGCATTCCGTTGGCAACATGGTGATGCTCAGATTTTTCCACATCAGCATCATTGCACACAGCAGCAATCTTAGCAATCATTTGAAGGTTAAGATCTAATTCACCCACCGGCCAGTTTTCTATATTTCCATCAAAAGGATCATACGCCACAAATCACAAAAGCCACAAATCAGAAATTAGACAAACATTCAAAACTGAAATTACAAATCACAACATCCACAAAACTGAAATTAGACAAGCAGCTCA